GTTTGAGCAAGATTTAAAAATTATTATTTATATTAAAACATCATTTGAATATAATTTAATATTTTTTATTCTATTTTCTTAATCAATATTTTAATTGGTTATAAATCTTTGTAGCCTTTTAGATTTTTTTAAAATACTACTTTATATATATATATACTTGATGAGTAGTATTTCGAGCCAAAACGAGCCGAACATGAACGAACACATCTTAGTTCGTGCTCGGCTCGTTAACTTATCGAACAAAATTAATGAGCCGAACACGAGCTTCTTAACGAGTCGAACACGAGCTGTTCGTGAACAACGAGCCATTTTGACAACCCTAGGCTTGACCGGCTAAACTTAGTTTATTTTGGTGAAATAGGTCAGCTCGGTCGACTGAGTTTGGTCTGTAGGGTTTGATCGAATGATTCAGCCTGGTTGACTACGTTCAATCCCTGATAAGGAGTCTTTGCGTCTTCGTTGGGTGGTCAAAGATACTGTGGAACTCACTCTTCCATTGGATCGGTTTTCCTGCAGTGGATGGCTCAAATTCTTCTTGTCTAGTTTTCGGTCGAATGGCCTACACTACGATCGGTTAGTTGTCTTTGTCTGCCTTTTGGCACAGTTGGTTTTTACCCAGTTGACTTGGCTCATATAGCTTGGCTTTTACGGCTAGGTGGGCCACACGATCTCGTTGCAATGGATATGCCCCCATCGTATCTTTCTCTCCTGGACCATTAGATCTCTATAAGTTATGCAGACGCCTTTTTGATGTACATATACTTTCCTTAGTTTTTGATTAGTAGTAATGTCCTTATGACTTCCTCATATAAATAATGGTGGATGAGTTATCCACTGAAAGCTAAAATAACAATTGTAAATGATCGGTCAATTCTTCCTACTTTGTCCCACTTTAATATTCATATTCCATCACTACTACATTTCTAAGAAATTGTTGATAATAAGGTAGCGAAGTACTAACATACTTAATGGTGTAGGTTAAGTTAAGACCAATAATAAAATAAGAACACGAAATAAAAAATGACTCAAATGGATCATCGCAAAACAAAATTCAACTTATTTTATCTACATCAATGCAACTCCCATTTCTCCTAGCTTCAATCAAGGTTCGGATCACTACTAAACCTCACCAAAAGTTTCACTTTTCTTGCTTCTATTTCATTAGATATTTGGTAAAAAGGAGAAAGATTAAAAAAGATATCTTTCAATAATTGATCAAGCACAAAAGCACTGCATTTGTAAATTAGCAGAATCAACCCAATAAAGATGTGTGACAAATAAAAATGAGTACACAAAGAAAGATGAAGAGATAGAGAAAGAAAGAGATGAAGGAGATTAGGGTTAGATGCTATAAAAATATTCATTCCTCATAATTTTAATGAAACATGAACTATCAACATAGAAAGCTTTATGAAAATTTGAACTCAAAGCAAGTTAGCACACCTCCTTTGCCAATGTTGTTTATGGTTTGAATGTTGCGGACATTCTCTCCTCTTTACTCAAATAGTTATCCACTTTTCTTTCATTTAAATTCAACAATTAACAACATAAACAGCCATCAAGCAAGCCTTCTCACCTCTTCTTCAATGACGAGATTTCTATATCTACTTGGTCTATCGCCCTCCCATCGATTGGCAAATCTTTTATGGTTCATCCTACAATCGAGGTGATTCACTAGTTCTTGTCAAATTTATAGCTAATTGGTGACCATTGGGCTTTTCAATAATAATGTCATCAGAAGACTTTCTCTATAAGCAGAGTACATCAAAGTTCTCTTACAGTGTTAATACTATATCAAAAGTTTTCTAGTGCATGTCTTAAAATGATTACCCACTTTTAATTACTTTGTGGGCCATCTATCACTCATGCTAGATCCCATTTTCATGATTTCATTTAGAATACTTTCATCACTCTACATTATCCTTCTTGGCTTCTATTTTTGAGTAGACTTTATAGATGGCTTATGTGATAACTCATTTACTGGGACTCTAAGGATAATATTGGTGGAGCTAATGTTACAACCCATTTTTATAAGATGTGGATAGCATCTTTATCTCTTGAATATAGGTAGAAAGTGAAATTTAAAAACATTCCATCATATTATTCCAATTATCATATTTTTGGATATGAATTCCCTGAATCTTTCGAGCTTTATCCAAAAGTGAATCATAAATTTTATTTGCAGGATCATCCATCAAATACTTATACTTATCCTCACTCCCTTTGGTGTAAGATCCCCACTCATCTATTTGGGTGTGTTGCCAAAACCCTAAAGCCAAATTGAAATTCTTTTTAGAAGAAAACAAATGATATTCCAGTCCCAGCTATTCCATTAGTGTTCACTTCGTCAACTATTAATATTATCAATATGAATATTTCACAAAATCTTGAAATGCCTCAAACCTTATCTGATTTTTGACGATTATTTGTTAATGTCTATAATTCTAATTGGAACATTCAGAGTTTTGGCATTTAGTGGATAAGAGAATTTGAGTTCTTTATACTAGAAGGGGCAGGATTAGGAGAAAATCCATCATCATTCATTTGTAATCATGAGACTAATTAAATAATCCAAATGAACAATTTTTATCTTTTTCTAAGATGTATTTTACTTTCTACTCTGGCAATTAATGATAAATATCCTTATTATACTCATATGAGTATCTAGTTAATATATTTGTTTAAAAAAATTAATAAGCAATATTGGGGATATCATTATAAAAAACCAAGAATGTATAAGCATTACCAGCACAACTTTAACCTCGGAACAATAAATATTGTGTTGGTCACCCCTAACGAAAAAACCCATGTCATGATAATGAAAGAAAGTATCAAGTAGTTTCTATTAAAGCTAGTTTATCTTGACATAAGTGTGGCGTTTATTTAGTATAAAATGGATGCAGATGAGTTTGTACTTTTGAAACTCATCTTCGTAGATATGGGAAGAGAGTTAATCTTATAAAAGATTTCAAGCCACCTTAATTTTTGCTTTTAACAAAAAAGAAAAAAAAATTAAAAGGAGTTGGTTTAGAATATTACTTCTATTTATAATGTAATAAAATTTTTAGATTTGATGAGATTATAAGTAAAATTAAAATTACTTGTAGTTAAAACAGACACTGGAATTGAGTTCACAAAAGGCGGCCCAATAAAAAAAGCAACCGTCACTAAAGCTCACTTAAATTAAAACCACATTTGAAAGTCAACTCTAACTCCTTTCGAGCCCTTGCATCAAAACAAATTGGTTTTTAGAACTTATTTGAAGGATGCAAATTAAGCTTGCTAAGAAAAAAAAAACAATGAAATGATTTAGGAATATTAACTGAAGATTAAACAGTCCAGATTTTAAGTATAACGGATACTTCACAATGTTTTCATCTTTCTTAAATATATTCAAATGGGTGCCCCATATATGAAAAACTCTTTGTAAAGATCCCTCCATTAACTACAAAATTTATTAACGGTAAAATGACAAATTACCTTTCAGAAACATTTATCTCTCTCTTTCATTAAGATCCCTAATTAAAGTGCAAACAGACTTTGAAGTGAACAAAAATTCCTCTCTTTCACTAAGATACATAATCACAAAGTTTATTGGGTTTAAAATATAAAAAATACTCCCTGTTTTTTTTCTTTCCTCTTACACAAAAAAGCCCCCCCCCCCCCCCCCTCTCTCTCTCTCTCTCTCATACACACAAACACAAAAAGAAAACAACATTTTGATTAAAAGTAATTGTTTCAAATAAGCCATCATGAAATGATGTTGAAGTATGTTTTAGAATTTTCTCAACTTGAAAAGATGATTATGCAGACAACATGTTTACTTAAAGTACCACTTTGTAAGATAAAAAAAAAGAAGGGGCAATTACATACATCCCACCCGAAACTTTCTATTTACAAATCTACCATCCTCTTTCATCCATTTTCCAAATACTCACTCAAATATCAAAATTCATGGTAAAACCCCAACCCATATTTTTCATTTTTATCAAATTCTCAAAAGTTTGATTGTGGCACGAGTAAATACATTGGTTCTATAGTTCAAAAAAATCACTTGGATGGTTAATTTGTAAATATCAATCTTTCAGGTGGTATGTATGCAATTATCCAAAAAAAAAAGAAGTAAAATAATTTCAAAAATGCAAATCTATTTGAAATACCCACCCTATACTCAAGGACATAGATCCAATTATGTATCCTTATTTAATTTGCAACTTATTGAGCTTCAGTTGACACAACAAACCTCATCAGGAGACACCGGAACATCATGATTTGTTGCTTTGGTAGTAGGTGTGAGAATATTAGCAGGCAACTTCTGATTTTTCTTCATACCTGCAATGCATAAGAAATAATATTTTTAGGGGGCATGTACATACATACCACCCAATTCTTATAAATTACATATCTAATACTTCAACTTTACTTTTTCACATTTATACCACCCAAATCTTTCATATCACATAAAATACCACTATTTTAACTTTTTTAAAGTGAAACACAGCTTTTCATGCATAGGTAAGGTGGCATGTATGTAACACTTGAAGTCTAGGTGTTAGATATGTAAATACATAGGAATTGAGTGGTATGTATGTAAATCTTCCTATATTTAAATAGTGTAGCCTATGCATGTCATAAAAAGATTTGCAGCTTAGACCCACCATCAGGAAGAATATTCCCACAATAGTTCCTTCTGCCACTGTTGTAAACAGTCCAAAGTGATGTGTCAGTGCTGCCAGTCACAAAGCCTCTAACTAAAAAAGTAATTGTCAAACTAAACATTTTAGCCACCATGGCTAAATGAATTGGAAGAAGGGGGGGGTAAAATGCAAATAAAAAGTCTAAAAAATAACTAGCATCATACAGATACAAATAGCAGATAGAATTAAAACCACAAAAGAAGCAAACAATCTAAATTTATCCCAAGAGTTACAAAATAGAATTGAAGTATCATTATTACGTGTAAATGGCATTCAATAAAGATTTCCATCACCCACACTCCCTCTTTTCTAAAAACATTTTATTTTTACAATATCAAATTTAACAATTTGACCCCAAAAACAACTTACCAACAAATTCAACAGGAAAAACTGAGCACTTCTTCGCTATTGTCACATTCTCATGAGGAGAGCAAACGACCGCATTAGGAACAATGTGTTCGGTCGTGTTAAACCACCATATACTTGTTTTGTTTAGAACCTGAGGAAATGAGTAAATAATAATCATAATCATTGCCCGCATACATGGAACGGATTTCAAATTTTCGGCAGGAGATAGATTAAGAAGATGAACAGGGCTAATAAACTTAATCTGAAATTAATTTCAGCAAAAATTAAGGGAAATTTACATACGTAGCACACAATTCTTGTGTATTTACATATCTTAAACCTAAATTTTCATATTTACATGTATAGCACTTTGGTGCTTTAAACCTATGCATGAAAATGTGTATTTAACTTTAAAAAGTGACAATAGCACTATTTTTGATGTGATATTAAAGGTTTGAGTCCTATGTGTAAATATAAAAGTTCAGGTGTGAGATATATAAATACATAAGAGTCGTGAGCAATGTATGCAAATCCCCAAAATTTAAAGTACTAATATGTAACTATATCCTAATAGGGAACTATGAGTATAAACCATAGATAAATATTGAGAAAAGTGTCAAAATGGTCCCTTGACTCTTTTTAGAGGTCCATTTTAGTCCAAGAATCTATAAAAGTATCAAATTAATCCTCATTGTTTTAATCGGGCTAAAATAGTCTACCCTAGAGACCATTTCAAGCCATTTTAAAAGAGTCTGATGACTAATTTGACATTTTTATAGACTATGAGACTAAAATGGCCTCATGTAAATAGTTAGGGACTATTTTGACACTTTACTCATAAAGCATTTATTGCCATCAAAATCCATATGTGAAATATTGAAGTGGTAATATCATGTTGATGTCAAATCATTAAAATCTATGCAAATTCATGATATGAGTCCTGATTCAATGATGATGATGCTTCAACTGCTGCTGATTAATTTGCTCAAGTTTTAATCAATGTACAAGTTTTCTTAGTAAGCAAGTGCAAAGAATAAAAGTATGAGTGTATATTGTTTGGATAAAACTGAAAAAGTAAAACAAAATAATCTTATTTGTTTGGTTTGGCTATTGGTTTAGTGTAAAATCCATCAAATCAATAATCTAATAATATCAATTTCTTCAAATATTAAATTGACAAAGTAATGCATGTAAATAAGTGACATAAATATCAACATAGATGTTGTTTATTCCACATGTCAAAATTATGTTTTTAACTAAGATTATTTTATATTATACTTAATATATATCATTTAAGCTAAATAAAAATATTTTCATTGTTAAACTTTATTATATTTTACTTCATCTGAAATAGAGCTAAAATGACCAAACTAACATTTTTTTCAATTAAGTTAGGCTTTAAAAATAGCTTGCTCATTCAGTTTTCTAAATTTTACTAGCTAATTTATAAATCAAACTTATAAGGAGTAAAAATTCAATGTTTGATAATAAGAGCTACTATGATAGAATAACATGTAAGAAGAAAGATTTTAGGAAGAAACATCTAAGAGCAGGCCAATGATATCAAATTCCATACATCCAACAAATCAAGGCTTATAATTGCAAGTGTTCCCATGCCTTAGATTTGATGCATTTTATACTTCCCACTATCTGGTAGGATGCCATCATGAAACCCACGAATGCAGTTCTAACAATTATCGAAAAAAAATAAAAAATATATTTGTCATGAAAAGAAAAAAAAAGAAGATTTACCTACATACCACTTAATCTAATCTATTTACATATCTAACACCTAAACTTCAATTGCTGTAGACATGCCAACTTATCAATACACGAAAAGGTATATTTCACTTTTAAAAGTTAAAAAAGTGGTATTCTTTATGTGATATGAAAGTTTTGGGTGGTATAAATGTAAAAGGTAAATTTGAGGTGTTAGCTATGTAAATACATAAGAATCGGGTGGTATGTATGCAATACCCTCCCCTTTAAAACTAGAGCAAACCTGAACAACCGAGCAGAAGCAGTTAAAACCATCTTAAGTTCAGAAAACATTACACAACCAAATTTTGGTAAATTTGCAAAATTGCAACTTTCATAAAACCACTCAATAAAATAATAATAATAATAATAATAATAACAGAAGAACAGAAGCCATTTATGTAAGAAAGAAAGGTAAAGGTGAAACCTGCCCCTTAAACGGAATGGAAGCCAAAACCCTATCAAATGCGCTCTGCCGATCGGTTGTCACCAGCACCATATAACCCTTTCCCTCATAAATATCTCTAACCTACGGCCCCAACATAAGATGAAGAAATCCAAAAAGAGACTCACAAAGAAATAGACATATAATGGATCAGAGAACAAGAAATGAACCTTTCCTCGAGCTTTCGCCATGAGACCGGGAACAGTAAGCTCGAGATGAGTCTCGGAAAGACAATTGGAGACAAAGGAACGTGCGGCGGTGAGGACGTCCTCGCGATGGCCTGCCTCAACGGAAAGAAGGGATGCGCTGGAGATGACGGCGGGGCGCCGCCGTGGTGCCGACATGGAGAGGTGGGTATATCGGCGAATTGAAGGGAGAAATGGGGTTTTCAGAGAGGATTTCAAATTGCTTGCAGTAGATGGACAGGGAGAAAGCGCCATAGTAAAGGAAGGCGCTGAATTGCGGCGAGCAAGAAGCTGCTGGGTCACCCTGCTGACATATATATGATTTAAATCATTCAAATCACTTACAAATTACTACTTTTTTAATTTATAAAAATAAAAATATATAATTTTGGTGTATTAAATATGTTGAGAAAAAATGATTGATATATATGTAAATATTTTTGTGAAAAGAGGTGATCTTTTAAGTAAATAAGTTTAATTAAATGTAAATTTACAAAATAAAAATAAAAATATACATATATTAATCATTATTTTAAATTATTTATTGTAAAGAATTTTAAAATCTTATTTTATTGAATGAAACATCATCAATTCTTAGTATTTTTTTAAAGAAAGGTGAGCTCAAAGAGCAATCAATACGTGTGATTCAAACTCGCAGTTTCACAGTGCAAAATTATACCCTCAAAGACTGTGTTGAGAGTAAGTGTGCATTCATCATTAATAATTAACAATTTAATAGTAATATTAAAATTTATGCATCATAGAATAGATAACAATCTGAAAATTTAAATTTAATATATATATATATGTATGTATGTATGTATACGATGGTGATTATAATTTTGATTGCACATTTTTATAAATTAATTTTGATCATTTTATATACATGTTGATTAATAAATTATAAACATAACATTATGTATTTACATATCTAACACCTATCTAAAGGTTGATATTTAGAAAAATATAAATGAACAACACATTTTTAGAGAAAATTAAACATTTGTATCCCAAAAATGGAAAAAAAATAAAAACTATTGCATCTAATGCATTTCCTTCTATAAATCATATAGGATTACTCAAGTGGCTTTTTTTTTCAATTCATTATCTCTATTTAAAATATATAATTTAAATTTATTTTGAAAGTAGAGAAGAAATTTAGGATTTAAAAAATTTAAATATAAATTAATAATTTATTAAATATTGAAACATCATGTGGTGATTCTCTTGACAAATGATAAAAATGATGGATATAATAAGTGAATGCATTTAAAATTAGAGGCATTTGCATACATACTACCTAATTCTTATTGTTGAACCAGATTTGTTCGTGAATCGAATCACAAAAGAAATAAAGCGTAATAGGAGAGAAGGAAAGATTGTGAGATAACACATCTTTTCTATGGTTTCAATCACCCTAGCACATTTAATAATCCCTTTATTTATAAGAGGACTGAAATTATTGTGAAATGACAGTTATACCCATGATTCTCTTAAGTTGGTCGACTTTTGATCAGTCGGTTTAAGGTAAGTCGGCTTCTGGCTAGTAGACCTCCAATCAACGGCTTCTAGGTCATTTGACCCTTCATGGATCGGCTTCTAGGTCGGTTGACTGCTATCGCCTAGTTATTCTTGCTTCGGGCACCCTTGCAATGCTTTACAAAATCCATCTTTTGGCACGTGTCTTATTCTGGTTCATCGAATCACCAGAAGATTTGATCAAGTATTTTTAGTGTATATTTTTTAGTTTCCTGATTCTTTCATATCTTAGAAACTGTTGCAATTAAAACATAAGAATTAAAAACAATAAATGACTAGTTATTATTTAATGACCCCAATGATTGATACTTCCTTGATTCTTGAGCTATTGGATATTATAAATAGGATGTGGAGACGTCTTCTCAAGTTTTTGTGCTCTGTTTTCTCCTTTTCTTTATTAGTTTCCCTGATTTGTGTGAGTTTTCATTATGCCTTTGCCTGTTAGCCATCTTCTACTTTGCAGGAGCTTGCAATGGATAAATTTACGAAGTACCAAACTGACATTCCAGACGATATCCAAAAGAACAGGTTGTTCTTGAAGGAAAAAGGTGGAAAACATTGTTAAGGGTGAGCGTAGGAAGAATAATGTGGTGAAGAGAATAGTGGCTTCATTCTCAAATCAACAGGCTTTTCTGGAATAGCCACAAAGCAGGCTCAACCCATTATTGCTCAATTAATCACTGTGAATCCAGTCTCAGCTGTTCAACCTGTCACTGTGATGCATGATTAGATCAGGGGCCAAATCACTTAGACAACATCTGGGATTCCTCGTTTGGAGGAGTTGATGATGTCAGAGATTATACTTTTGATCTAGAAGTTAGTGATGAAAGTGATGACAATGATGCTTCATTGTAAGGGTTGCCCTTGTGGGGCATTTCTTCATATGTGAAGTTGATGGAAGGATGTCGTGTGGTGTGTTGGAGAAGCAATGTTGCTACACATAATTATCATGAGTTGAGCCCTTTTAAACTTATTTGGCGGGCTGCCTCACTCCCATCTCTTTCAAAGATGGCGAGCACGACGCTAGCAATGCGGATGCCTTGAGCTCAAGCCAGTTCATCTGAGCTTCCTACATTAGGGCTTTCTCCTTTTGTTGGGTTATCGATACATGTGCCACGAACTCCTTGAGCTTCCTGGATTTTATTAGCTCTTCAATCATGCTCTGGAGGTATCGACTTTCCTTCATGCCGTATATGTGGCCTTTGTGATATGTAAAATATACCTTAGGATCACATAGATAACCCTCAACCTTTATGGGTGGTGTCTTCTTAAAGCACTTATTATTTTGGATAACTTTTACAACTTTTGTCATCAAGACTCTTGAAGGAGTCGACTAAGGGTGCTCGTGGGTTGAAGTTGACATTCTCTCTGCGTGACTATCTAGTTGTCATTCAGGATGTTAGGCTTGATATTTCCAGGGATGAATACCTCAATCTGATGTTGATTGTTTGAAAACATTCATAGGTCTTCAAAGTGAGCCTTGGTCGAAGGGTATGGGTTATGCCTAGATCTCCAACCTTCTCCATGGGTGCTTCTCTTCAGAGGGTGCTCTTTAGGTTGCTCTGTCTTGAAATGAAAGGAGAGTTATATTCTTGTGATGATATATGGTTGTTAGCAAGATCTAATAGCTCAGCCACTCTTGTGTATGATTGTTCGCATTTGCAATTGCATGTGTGCATGGATAGCAAGCTAGGCTCAAAAAATGAGTGACCCAATGTTGGTTGTAATGCCTTGACGAGCATTGTTTGTCAGGTCAATCTCAGAGAGAAATGCAAGTTAAAATATCGAAATTGAAATAAGTATGACTATGCTAAGGATCTAATGGATCTAAATTGTGTTACTCTGCATGTTACGAGTTTGTCTTTAAAATTTAAAAAAATAAAAAAAATATATATTGTTGTTTATCATGTCCGCAATAATTTTAAAATTATGTATGTAGCCAACTAGGCCATATATAAGGCAAACACTTTTCAAAATCCATCATGGGTGACATTCTTTAGATCCCTTGGATCTTTAGGATGAGTTCGCTGTGCCGACACCGCCAAAGTCATACATACCCAGAGACTTACCTTGTGCACTTAGATGTTGGTTATGACACTTATCGTTAGATGGAATTCTAGGCTAGGACTAGGGTGCTAGGTAGTATTTTTAACGCCTCTGGCTATTGTTCTTTGCCAGCTTGTTTGCTCTAGCCATGTATCACTTTTGTGGCTTTTTGGTATGCTTGTGTGTGCCTGTTTTTATATGCATGTTGGGATATTAGGGTTGTCTTCATGCAGAAGGGCCATGCCATATATATGCACACAAACACTTGAGTCTTATCGCTCCTTTTGCCTTCGTGGTATCATTTTTCTGGTGGATGATTCTGAGTAAGAAAACTAAATACATTAACTACTTAAATGAGGGAGATTGTCAAACCACCTTCAGTAGAATGAATTCGAACTCTTAAATAGCGAGGTGCCTTTTAGTTTAATTACAAAATTTTAATAGAAACATATAAGTTAAGTGTGCTTGTGATGGAGCATTCCGGAAAGAGCTCATAAAAAGTTACACCCATAGGGCATAACTGTGGGCCATTACGCCAAAGTGAGTAATATCTTAATGGGTGAGAGTTCAGGCTGTCACAAATGAATGTTTAAGGTTTTGAATTCATTCTACTTAAGGGTTTCACAATCTCCCCCATTTAAGCGGCAAAAATCTTTGTCCGTTTTCTTACCCAGAATCATCCACTAGCTAGATAAGATTTTAGAGGTGACCCCTATAGATTCAAGAGGTGACTCCCACCATGCAACACTTTGTCCCATCTTGGGTTCAAGAGGTAGCTCCCATTTTATAGCACTTTATTTCATATGACACTTAATTCCCTTCTTTCAACTAGTGTAATGCTCTGATAACAATTTAATTTGTCACGACCTTACCTGATATAACTATACAATAATAGAATATACCAAGTTGAGCACGCAATGAATTATTTACTAAATAATTATTTAGAAGAAATTTCTTTATTTTCTAATTTCATTATACATAACCAATAATTCATCAATAATTATATAAAAATAAATGTTGTCACACACAAGCTGTTCATGCCAGTAGGGACATCACATAGATTAAGTACGATGCCCCATACTTAATCATGGATAGAGATTCTTATTGAAGTGCTGGATATGTTGTTCAAGAAGAATCATTAGGTGCAAACTCCACACATGCAGATTTTGTTTTATTTTGGTTGTATCAATACAACAAATACAATCAAAATATAATGAAATCCACATGTACATACACCACATCTGATAATTGCTCGTAGTTTAGAGAGTTTGAGATGAGCCCTAAAAATTAATCTTAAGTTATGTAATTGTATGTGTCTAACATGTTGATATTCATTATGTAGAAGTAATTCTCCTAGCGGCTCAAGCATCATGCACATATTATGAGGAGCTTTGAGTCTAGTGGGGGGCCTGTATACACAATATATTTGCTAAGATATGCAAGACGGGTAAGCACACTCAATGGCTTGGGGAAGATGTGTACGCTTATTTGCGTAGAACTAGTGATAATCTTGACTATATCAAGAAGAGTAAAATCGATCTTTAGATTGTGGGGGCTCCCTACACACTAGAGAGGCACCTTCACAAATGAAGTACAAGAGGAGGATGACAAGAATTATTTTGTGTATTAAATCTTAGTAGATGATAATTATTTAATAAATATTTACTTTTCTTAAAGATCATTGGAGCTTAGACGAGGGCCCACTACTATTTAGCTATATGCTCGTGCACATCAACATTTATCAGATCACCAGCGGGTTAACATTAAATCTCAGACAACACCTGTAAGTAGCTAGAATAAAATTTATATCTTTTATAATTCTTTTTGTAGAAAACATATGAGCAGTTGAAGGAAGCTCAGAGTCAGCATATAGAAGGATTTACTATCCCTGATATTGAGCAGTTGGACTATAAGATTTGGAGATAAGCCGTTGGGGGAAATAAGAAAGGAATGATTTATGGCTTGGGGTCATAGAGACATGCGTAGGACACATATAGCTCTTTTACTGGGCATATCTCTACATCTAACTAGAAGGATAAAGTCTATAGGGGTGTTATTGCATTCACTGCATATATAAAGACCCAAGTTGCCGCTCAACTCACTCAGATGCAAAAAATGAAGATGTAATTAGAGGCAGTGCGATGTGATTTGCGTGGTATAGGAAAGCACCCTACAGGCTACAAAGGAGGATATGAAGGAGAATGTGGATGAGGAGGAGGAGGAGACCAAGAAGCAGCATGATTAGTTTTATTTCATTTTTTGTTATGAGATATTTATGTATAATTTTTGGTTATGTAAAAATTATTTCATTTTTTTGGTTATGTAAAAATTATTTCATTTTCTAGTGTTTAATACATTATGTTTGCTTTTATTTTCTATTTGTGATTGTATTCATATGGTTATAGTTTAGTAATTGTGTGGATTAGATAGTGTGATGCAATTATAAGTGTGTAAATTCCAATGAAATGACAAATGAGGTTTCTTGTTTTTTTTTTCATGCACACTTTTTAGAAGACCAACCGACGGGTTATCGATTTCCAAAAAAATTAAGTGCATGGCTCGTCGTTACTTCGCTGGGCAGTTACCCTTCAAAAATAATTATGATGGGAATGTTCCCTGTCAAACTACTATCAATTAAATTAACCTATTATAAATCCAATCAGAATAAGACTTTCCTCCCATAGGAAAAAAGGACCCTCGGAATAAGACCTTCCTACTACAAAAAAAGGACCACCTTTAACCCGTAGGAAAGCAGCCAGATTTTGAAGAACCGATGACTATGTTAATATTCATATTATTCTTTATCAAAGACATCACAAAGTAAAGTAAGAAAAAATAAAATTCAACTTTATACATATAATTTGTATTATGAAATCTTATGCTTATAAAAATTAATATTCAAAATTAGACATAATATCTTTCAAAGGAATTCCTCTAATTTATCTACTAAAATTTAAAATATCCTACTCGTTTAATTAATTAAGTTAAAATTTAACTTTTATAATTAGAGTAAGTATATATTTATAACAATTAACTCATTAAAAAGTAATTAAAAAAATAAATGATCACTTAAAAAATAAAGGCACCTTCGACTCCACCTTGCTTCCACAAATAAAAGCTTTAGCGCAAGAATCACAATGTTTCACAGGTATCTGAATCGACTTGAAGGAATAGTTTTGACTCTTGCTTAGGTATCGTCAAAGAAGCTTACGATTTTTGCTTTAGCAGGTGCAACTTTGGCTTTAATGAACAAAAGAGATTTACAACACCCGGCCTTTACGAATGCGGGATAAAGTTAATTCTGACTTGGTAACATCAACAACACATAAAGCGGACCTCACACACATCTTCACATACTTTGTCACGATCATGCCATGTTGAAACTAGTTAGCTTAACACCTTTATTATCAAAATCCTTATACTCAAATTGCACAACTTTCATGAATTCTTTTGATATGATGCCATCAATAGATCAATAATAAAAGTTAATATATCATTGAGCCATTCTCTAGAGGTCAACATCCAGAACATGATGAAGAAAAGTTAGCAAGACCATTATCTACTTAGTCGGAAAATCCATCTTTTTGAAAAAATTCCCAACCATGATAGCCAATCTTTTGCCTCTAAAGGTCAGTCATCTTTGTAGATCATGGTGACAATCTCTTTGTAAATCATTCAAATCATGGATCACTTACCATTATATGAAAATTTAGGGTGATCAGTACTCTTCTAATGACTTCTATAATAGTTATAAGCTCTTGCATCGCTCGATGGGTCTCTTGTAGGTTGATCAATCATCTTCATAAAAGATATCCACACTTTAGATGTAATGTCAAAATTTATGCACCCAACTATCCATGGCTTTCCCATATGTTTCCTAGGCTCCTAAATAATTTTGCTAAAAATAACAAAAGCACAACCTAACAGAAATACTTATATGCTTGTATAAGTTTATATAAGGGTGGCAACATATTGATAAAAATATGGGCTATTTACATAGAAGGGCCTCCAAACTTAGCTCAAGGCACTAACTAAATTAATCTTAAATAGATGATTAATAGCAACATTGTTCATAACTCTAAGGTACTTGGAAGATCATCTAATAAGCACAATCTTCTCTCTCTCTCTCTCTCTCTCTCTCTCTCTCTCTCACATACATACCACCCAATTCTTATGTATTTACATATCTAACACCTAAACTTTGATATTTACATTTGACACTTTGGTATCTTAAACCTATGCATGAAAAGCTACGTTTCACATATAAAAAGATAGTAATGATGATACTTTTGATGTAATATTAAAATCTGAGTGCTATGCACCTAAATATAAAAGTCCTGGATATGTAAATAGATAAGAATTGTGTGGCATGCATGCAAAATGAACTTTAAAAAAATCATGCCAAAGCATTATAATCCTCAATATTCGTGCTATGACATGAATGCTTTATGATTCATTTTAAGGAGAAATTATTGCATACGGACACCGCATGCATTTCTGCATGCGGTGTGCATGCGGTGTCCGATCTTGACCGTAGATCACGGTGATATACGGTCAGAATATATTTCAGTTTATTTATATATATATAAAAAAAATTTAGGTGTGACCCACCGAAATACATCCTGACCGTAGATCACCTGATTTGTGGCCAGGATCGGACACCACATGCAGAAATGCATGCGGTGTTCCGTATGGAATAATTTTTCCATTTTAAGACATGAGATGGCTTTATTAAACATGACCAGTTGTAGAAAACCTTTCAAAGTTTGTGTTAGAAGTCATTTAAAAGCACGTACTACTCAAAAGTTTGGCCCAAGTCAAAATCAAATTAGAATTAAACCTAAATTCACTCTAAACTTCATTACAACCAGCTCTCAAAAAACCTACTTGGATAAGATGAACTCAATGCCCTTAAAAATTCTCCGGACATTTACATACCAACCACCAAAAATTTTAAATATAATATTTTGACGACCTAAATTTAAAATTTACATTTCAACCAGCCAAATTCTTTTTTCGTTTTGCAAGAGTAGCGGTCAGTCCATTATATTTAAAGTTTTGGGTGATTGAAATGTAAAATTTTAAGTTTGGGGGGCCAATTCGTTATATTTAGAATTTTGGAGGATTGAAATGGAAATACCACCAACAAACTGCAACATTAGGATTGCAGAATCATGGCAGAATATATTCCTAAATCCCTACTCTGTATCTAACTTAGTGCAAGCATTAAAAAATCAATTTTTTTTTATGTTGCTAACTTCAGCAAAATTTCTCTAATTTAATACAGATAACTAATAATAGTAAAAAAAGAAGAAGCTTAAACTGATTGGAAATATTAAACTGCATTTATGCCTGCATAAAAAAAGGGTGTATTTACATACATACCACACAATTCTTATATATTTACATATCTAACACGCAAACTTCATGCAATATTTTCATCACTACAGAAAAAGTGGTAAAAGTAATATTGCAGTACAGTACTCGTGTAAAACGGAGCGTTGTGTACGTCAGAGATTATTCAGAGGGTAGAGGGGGATTATATTCGCATTATATCACCTTGTAATCTCCCTCTAACTTACCTGTACCTATCGGAACTACAGAAACACGAAACTTCTCTGTAGGTTTACAGGTTGGCTACAAGGAGGTTATAGAAGGTATAATACAGATATAACTCCCCTATACCCTCTGAATAACCTCCCGACGTACGCAAATATTTTCCGTGTAAAAGACATATTTATCAACTTTATGGAAAGATTCAAAAACAAGCAATTTTAGAAAATCAATTGCATTATTGCAAGATTCTATGTCTAATGGAAAATTCGAGCAATGTTCTCATGTAAATTTATGCAGAAATATCTGAATTTTATAAACCCGCATTAAGAGGAATCGGCTCTCCTGATTCTGCAGTCAGGGCTCTGTAAGCTTTCTGAATTCTTCTTGTTACAGGCCCTACTTGTCCATTTCCAATAACACGGCCGTCAATCATGACCACCTGTCGTAAAAGTAAAAAATTAAGGGGAGGTTTGCATGATCTCAAAGCAAATCCAATATTTTGGGGCATTTGCATACATACCACCAAAGTCCTGTGTATTTACATTCTAACTCCTAAAGTTTACTTTCTACTTTTATATTACCCAAATCTTTTATATCACATAATAAATTGCACCATTTTAACTTATAAAAAGTAAAATACATCTTTTCATGCAGAGGTAAGATGACATGTATGTAAAAATTGAAGTCAGGTATGTAAATACAAAAAAATTGAATGGTGCACATGTAAGTCTTCCTAATAGATTTTAAGTTTTTAAGCTTGATTTGAGATGGGTGCATTAGGTTGTCAAAAAAGCTTGTTGTTCGCGAACTGCTCGTGTTCAGCTCGTTAAGTAGCTTGTGTTTGACTTGTTCGTTAAGTAAATGACCCGAATACGAACAAATGTTTAAAGCTCGCATTATAAATGAACCGAACACGAACAACCCTTTATTCGCTCATGTTCTGCTCGTTTTAGTTCGAAATCAAGAAATTATATATATTATTATATAATAATATATTATATATATTAGTTATATAGTAATATATTATATATATTTATATCTAAGTTTAAATCATGACAGCTCATGTGATTCTGCGCCTTCTATTGCACAGAGTTGGAGTAGGTTTGAATCAAACACCCTACATATATTTTTTCCAATTAATTTTAACGAGCCAATTTTGAGCCAAACATAGGCCGAACACGAACAATAATATTTAAATTGAGTCGAACACGAACACACTGTTTACAAGCCAATTTCGAACATGAGCCGATTTCAAACACGATCAATTTCAAACTAGCCCAACACGAGCCAAGCCTGAGCTCTTTCAAGCTCGACTGTTTTATAGCCCTAGAGTGCATATATATGAATACTCAATTAACTCATATATTGCACTCATCTTAAATTAAATCAAAGAAGTTTAAAATTCATCAACTAAAATTTTAATCAGTTTACCCTCGATTAAATTTTTTTCCTAAGAATTAATCTCACCATATTGAGTCGAGCAACCTTCGAAGGAGATAAAATTAACGCATGATGTGAAGCAGTCAAATGAAACCCTCAAAAAGGATTCTCTAATAGATTTGCCATTTTTTAAAGCTTTTATAAGCAAGCAATGCTTGGTAGATACAACTACTGACCGTCACCGATGTACAAACTTCTCAGAACTAGTCATTAATCTATATGAAAATATTATAGAAAGATTTAGATACACACCACCCAATTCTTATGTATTTACATACACCTAAACCTCAATTTCTTTACTTACATGCCACCTTACCTATGCGTAAAAAGGTATATTTCACTTTTAAAAGTTAAAATGGTGGTATATTTGATGTGATATGAAAGATTTGGGTGGTTTAAATATAAAAAGTAAAATTTAGGTTTTAGAGATGTAAATACATAAGAATTGGGTGGAATGTATGTAAATTCCCCAAAATTATATTAGAATATTTTTATACATAAGAATTGGGTGATATGTATGTAAATGCCCCAAAAATATATTATGGACATTCTTATACAATTTGCATGATAGGAGGAGAAATGCTTGAAGGAAGATATTTGTTCAAAACTGCAGGACATCCAAAATATCTATTAAAAAAAGTGAATAAACAATTTTCGCATGATTTGAACCTAAAATCTCCATGTAAAAATGTAGGTAATCTATCCATCAATCAAGCTAATAATTACAACAAAAACAAAGCCTTAATCCCACTACGTGGGGTCGGCTACATGAATCCTTTTTCTCCATTGCGTCCAATTTAGTGTCAAATTTTCATTTAGTTTTAATAAATTAAGATAACTTTTTGTACAATAAGCCCAAGTCTTCCTAAGTCTACCTCTGTCTTTTTTAACATAAGTCGAATCTAAAACATCTAATCTCCTAATCGGATCATCAGACGGTTGACGTTTAATGTGACCAAACCATCTAAGACGACTCTCTCTAATTTTGTCCGTCACTGGAGCTACACCAACCCTATCTCCGATATATTCATTTCGCATATTGTCTCTAAGTGTAAAGCCACTCATCCACCAAGTTATTCTCATCTTGGCAACACTTAACTTAGTATTATACTTCTCTTTTAAAGGCCAACATTCAACGCCATAAAACATTGCAGGTCTCACCACCCTTTTATAAAATTTTCCTTTCAGTCTAAACGGTACTTTTCTATTTTCTATCACACAAAGAGGGCCCGAAGCATTCCTCCATTTCAACCAACCAACTTGAATTCTACTATTAACATCCCCATCTATATCACCATCGCTTTGAACAATCAAGCTAATGATTAGAAAAAAAAAAGGTACTTTCGAGTAAATATTTTTATAATTGATGGATATCTTCATGTTTACACCATCAAAGAACTGAGCAAATAAATAAACAAGTCAAATTCAAGAAGTTCCAAATTCATTTTATTGTCATTTCCAGCTTCAGGAATTTTCGACGCACGATGATGAATGCTTATACAGATGGGCTCATAGTTGCTATGATTACTACAGGTTATAAGTATGGATATAGTTTGATTCTTATCTCAAACAGAAATTAGTATATTTGCATACAAACCACATAAACTATGGCGATCTCTACCATGTTTGTCAAACCTGAGTTGTAGTTTTCCAACTTAGACTTTCTCCACAAGGTTTTGGCTTTTTCAATCTTTTGGACTTTATCCATATCCCTTAATTCGTCTTAGGACATTCACCAGATTTTGAACTTATCCTCTAATAATGGTAAAAAATGAAAATCTAACGAGCAAATTGGTTGGAGTAGTCAACTATTCCCATGCTGGAACATTGGTGTTGTATTGGACATGCCTACTTCCTTATAAATCAGACCCCTATAAGCTGCATTTGTATTGCCAATATTTAATGTAATAGGCACTTCAAGATTTTTTCAACAGGTTCGCATTCATTACTCTTAAGTATGGGATAATGAAGCAATCATTTTATATGTAAATTTTTTTGTGATATTTAATATGTAATGTCACTCATGTAGCTCTGTAGTGTGTTGCGGACTAAGCCTCTGCAACTATGGTGGCGGTGGTGGCTTGGCTATGAGTTCTAGTGCCTTGGGTGTGTGAGTTAGTGGTGGATGTGAACTGTGCTTGTGTGTGGTGGATGTGAGAGGTGTTTATACTGGTTGCAGTGGCTTGGGGTGTGTGTTCTGGTGGCCTTGGGTGTGTGGGTTGGTGGTGGATGTGAGCTGTGCTTGTGTGTGGTGGCTGTGAGAGCAGTTTATAGTGACTTGGGTGTGCTCTGCAAGCCTTGAGTGCGTGGGTTGATGGTGGATGTGAGGTGTGCTTGTGTGTGGTGGCTGTAAGTGGTGTTTATGGTGGCTTGGGTGTACTCTGCTAGCCTTGGGTGTGTGGATTGGGGGTAGATGTGAGTTGTGCTTGTGTGTGGTGGCTGTGAAAGCAGTTTATGGTGGCTGTGAGTGGTATTCATGTGAATGTGTGGGCTTTCTCCAAGCTCTTCTATTTATATTTTTGTTTATTTATTTGTCATTCTATAATGGTATTTAACTCAAATTTTTTCATTCTCACTCTATAATGCACTAACATGTTGAGTTTGTTAAATTTTAAGTTATTTTTTTAACTGTCAATTCTTCAATTAGTTCCAACATGACTAAGATGAAAGAAGAGGGTCCGTCAGCAATGTAGAATAAAGAGGTGCCAAACATTTTTTGCGATCTTTGCATTAAAGAGATTGAGGTTGGAAATAGACCTATCACATACTCTAACAAGAAAGGTTTGCAAGATATGTAAAAAATGTTCAAAGAATTGACCGGAAGAGAGTATGATAGGCTAAAATTCAAAAACAAGTGAGATCAATTAAACAAGGAGTGAAAACTATGGAAGGAGCTGAAACGAGATCCCTTGGGTTGGGTTGGAATCCCATTAAGCGTACCATTGATATTTCAGAGTAATGGTGGACTGAGAAGTTAGGGTTAATAATGGTGGACTGAGAAGTTAGGGTTAATAATGGTGGACTAACATGCATTTTTGCTCATTATCATTTTTGTTTTATTTTAACTAATATAACCCCCCCTTCAACAGCGTTATAGGCAGTACAAACTACCAAAAAAATTAAGGTGTACGAAATTGACCCAAGCTTGGAAGATAAATTAGACGTAATGTTTAAGTGGGTTGCTGCGATGGGTCAGCATGCGTTCAACCCAACTGAGTAGGTGCTTGCAGGCACCTCAAGTGACTTGATACTCACTCTTAATTGAAATGTATATCATTTTTTGTACTGTTATGAAGTGATTTTTTTGGTTCTGAACTATCAAATGTATGACCATTACAGTTCTGTTGCAAACAACATAACTGTGCACTGCCATAATGGTCATTTATCCAGAAACAACAGCAAATCAGCTGTTTTCTAAACGCACAAATCAAACAACTAAACAACTTATGCAGATCAGGAACAAAATAATTATTTAACCAAAAACAGCTGCAAATCAGTTGTTTTTAAAACACACAAACCAAACAACCAGCTTATCAGGATAAACTGCGAATAAGATGCTTATCAGGATAAACCGACTTATCAAGAGAAGTTGCAGCTGCCCCAAACAGACCCCAAGTTAGAGGCAAAGTAGGTGAGGAGACTAAATGCTTGCTGCATCTCTCCTTCCACCCCCAGTACATGAGCTCACTTTAGAGATGTGTAGAAGTTAAGTTGTGCTCGAGTCATGTTAAAATCAAACTTGACCTGAAAGGGAAAACTTGAGCTTGGTTTTGTAATAACAAAATAATAATAATAATAATAAGTAAAAATAAGCATTGATTTGGAAAGACAACTCTTAGCGGGGATTAGATCACAACCTTTACCACTTAACTCCTCATTTAATTGAAAGTTTTAGAAAAGGGATAGTTAGATGTTAATGCCGTCCGAACGCAATACCTTCCAAATTAATGCTCGAGTCATGTTAAAATCAAACTTGACCTGAAGGGAAAACTTGAGCTT